CAGTTAAAGTCCTAATTAGAGAATGTGCTACCATTAAAGTTCTACATAGGCAGGCCTGCTGACTATGCTTGCACCACCCTCAGAGCATGCCCAGTGACATAAATCAAACACACCCACCAACCAGTATTCAGTAATGTAGAGTTGTACTTATGGAAAGGGAGTTAATCCAAAATGACACACATGTACTCAGTGGTGCTCAGAGAGAAAGGAGAGACAAATTTTGGAGTATGAAATGGTAAATGGACTGTATTTTATATAGCGCTTTCTCACAGTGTGTTGCACTGGCCAAAGCGCTTTACAGAGATGATACACCATTCACCCATTCACACACAACATTCACACACTGATGACGACAAGCTGCCATGCACCGGCGCTAGTCAAGCCACCAGGAGCAATTCGGGGTTCAGTGTCTTGCTCAGGGACACTTAGGCATGCGGGGAGACCGGGAGTCGAACCACCAACTTGCTGGTCAGGAGACGACTGCCCTACCTCATGAGCCACAGCCACCCGTCCTAGACTAGAAAGGATTTGCCATTGAAAATGAAAGAGTCAAGAACTTGGGCCTAGGACAGATCATGGAGGACTTTTTACATTGTTGACATACAGTATATATATTGGACATGGCATCACCACCTTTCTCCACTATGCAAAAATTAAGCCAAAATGTTGTTATTTTTGCAATTATATTCTGCACAGCAGTGACCATAAGTGGAGTGATGCCATCAGACCACCATTCAAAACTCAAATCATCCAAAATACACCTCTTTTTATATCACCAAATAACTTATTAAAAACAAACTTACCAAAAACGAAATTACCACTTGTGCAAACATCTGTTATAATATCTACCAAAAAGCACAGAAGTGGCCTCTGGAAAAAAATTATCTGATTGATACTTTGAATTTTTAGTTTGGGTCATGTCAGGTCCACTAACATGCAGGAGGCAGTGGTTGCGAGTTACAATGTAGCAAGTTAGCAGTTTAGTGTGGCTACACAAAATTGTGTGATTTTAAGTGTAATTTGATGGATGGCACTCACAAGGGTTATTTCACTAATGCAGCTGTATGTCACAGCTTTGCCTCATTCTGCTGTTGACTGCTGAATTGTAAAAGCTGGCTTATTTTCATGTTGCATCCATCGCAGTGTCCAGCCTTTCCTTGTATTGTTGGCTATTTTTGTTTGTGTGAGTACTGTGCTATTTAGTGAATCGATTCTAGTGAGGCTATATTGAAGAAGACGGTTGTACATTTGTAACTGGTAGTCAGTCATTTGCACGGGCGACTACCTGTATGTGTCCTTGCAAAATCTGAATTGTGGCTTGAGGGCCCAGTGGTGCACCCAATCCTGGAAATATGTTGTTTTGCTACTGTTTCCACACATTTGCATGACATAGGAAAAAAATGTCATTCCTTATGGACCCTAGTGGAAATAGAACAAATATTAAGGAGAAGTTCAAAACAACAAAAAGGTACCACAAAACAATAAAATTGTGGAGTTAAATTACTAACTGTAATCTAAACATTGGGATGAGTGAGCAATCTTACATTAGAGGCAATATGTTGGATGTAAACTAGGTCTAGTGTATTTTCTCCTCTTGTAGCTAATTTGACGTTTCAGCAAGGAAGGCAAAATTTGCATGATTGCAGCTACCAGTGATGACGAAGAACCTGGCTATGTGTGCTGTTTGTTGATGGCTGATGTCGTGGTGCATTTCATTTCATGTTGAGGGCGGTCCATCACACTCACTCTACCAGTCTTACAGCTGAAGACATGTAAGACAAAAGCACTGAAACATTTGGTCTATGAAATGACAGCCTCATGGTGGCTGGCCTTCCACACAGGTCTTACACAGCAGAATGACAAAGGCACCTCCAGTCACGGTGAATTTTCTGCAGTGTTTCTCCATGCTAGCAGCATGACTCTGTGGATGGCGATGCCACTTTGTCAGTCACCAGATCAGCCCGGCACTTCAGTCCAGACTGAAATATCTCATTAACTGTTGGTTGGATTGCCAGGAAATGTTGTATAGGCATTCAAGGTCCTGAGATTGTGACTCATACTGACTTTATCTCTGGCGGAAGCATGAGGTTGATATTTGTGATTTTGAAATGTCTTGACAACTACTGAATTGCTTCATAACTCACATTCTCCTTAGATGAACTGTATTGTCTTCAGTGAGCCCTTCACTTTTTGTTTAAATATCAATTTTTGCAGTTCTGTGGTTTATGTCCCAAAACCCATAAACTAATAGCACTACCATCAGTCCCAGCTGCACTAATGTTAACTAATGGCAGCATGCTAACACGCTGTGATGATGGTAACCATAATGCCTGCTAAACTTTAGCATGGTAGCATCATTGTTCTGAGCATGTGTCCTGCAGGCAGAGGTGTCTCCCAGCTTCCTCCAGTGAGCTCTTGTTTCAGGCTTCCGCATAGACATGCTTCTCTGCTGTCATTTCTAAAGGAACACTTTAAAAGAACACTGCTCCTGTTTGCAGCTCTGTTTTCACTTATTAGTCACAGGTGTGCCAGTCTAGAAAAAGAGTACTTGATCCTTTACTTCAGTAAAAGTATCATTACTACAGTAAAAAAAAAAAAAAAATGTGTCAAAAAAGAGACATGCATGTTGACCCAGTAACTCATCTTCTGAAGTATTATCAGTGTGTGGGCTTTTGTCTCTGTTTCAGTGATGTAAATAAGTAGCAAAACCACAGTGTAAAAATACTAAATTCAAAATGTTAGGCAAAAGTACAAACCTACTAGCATCAAAAAACACTTGAAGTACCAAAAGTAAAAGTACTCATTATGCAGATTGGCACATTTCACATTAATTTTCATCCTTAAAAAAAAAAAAAAATGTGTCAAAAAAGAGACATGCATGTTGACCCAGTAACTCATCTTCTGAAGTATTATCAGTGTGTGGGCTTTTGTCTCTGTTTCAGTGATGTAAATAAGTAGCAAAACCACAGTGTAAAAATACTAAATTCAAAATGTTAGGCAAAAGTACAAACCTACTAGCATCAAAAAACACTTGAAGTACCAAAAGTAAAAGTACTCATTATGCAGATTGGCACATTTCACATTAATTTATAATATGTTATTGGATCACCGATGCCTTATTGTGCACATCACTTTGGAGATAGTAAAGGTGGAGCTAATTTAAACTACTTTATCACCTTATTATCATATACTTTCAATCAAATAATTATTATTCTTCCACATAGTTTACATACTGCACATGTGAAATTCACTGGGGATGAATAACGTCTTATAATTATCCTATTTTTTGTCTTATTAATCTGATTCTGAAAAGTAACCAGTAACTAAAGTAAAAAAGTGCAACATTTGCCTTTGAAATCTAGTGAAATGAGTATGAAGTAACAGAAATTAGAAATACACAAGGACAAATACTTTAAACGTGCACTTAAATGTGTATTACATGCTTTACTACTTTCCTGGGTGTGGCACAGCTATAAAATGCAAAGCCTCTTCCAAGAATCTGCCAACTCCATATCTGTCTGTTGATACCAGAAACCCAGCATTTATGGACTATTGTGAACAGAGCAGCTGTCTGAAAACTTTGAACTATAAACAGGACTTAACATGTACAGCAGCTTGTATATTTCAGCCAGTTGTGAAAAAATTGGAAGTTGATCTTCTCTGGACCTACAGTATGTTTAGATAAATATGGCAAATATCTTCCTCTAAAATAATCTCACCTCTCTCACGAATGGTTACTCAGTGCTAAATATGTCTGTGTTATTGGCACCATCATTAGGGTACAGGTTTCACAGGGTGTTTTATATTTGCTTTATAACCTGTTGTAAAGAACTGAATGTGTATCTGTACTTCACTTGAGTATTTTGATTTTCTGCTACCTCATACAACAACGCCACTAAATTTCAGATAAAAACATCAGACTTTGTCGTTTATACATTGATTTGATAACTTTAGTTACTTTCAGAATCACATGAATAAAACAAGAGTCGAGATAATAGTAAGACTTCAATGATCAGTGAGTAATTCACAAGATACCCAGCAGTATGTAAATTACTTCAAATTATAAGCATGTAAGGTAGTTAAAATTATTTTACCAGCTGCAACATTAAACATGATGAACACAATAATATCTCAAGAATCCTTATAATCCCATAATATGACATATGTTCATGTGAACTGTGGCATTCTGCATAATAAATACTTTTGGTACTCCAAGAACTTTGTAATGCTAATACTTTTGTACTATTACTTAACATTTTGAATGCAGGACCTGTACTTGTAACAGAGTATTTTTACACCATGGTATTGCTACTTTTACTTACGCAAAGAATCTGAGTACTTACAGATGAGAAGGATGCCCACACACTGATAATACTCCAAAAGATGAGTTATTGGGCCACCATGCATTTGTCTCTTTTGTGAGAGAGTGTTTAAATCACAAATTTACAAGCTAAGTAACACTATTAATACAGATTTCTGAGCAGATGGAGGCTTTACGTGATCTATGTTTTTCTTGAGTCTGACCTATCAGCTTTAGTTTTGATTACAGGTTTAGTGCAACTTCATTTAAGAAAGAGTTTTGTTTCCTGGGAGGAGTTGAGCATTTTTAGTAATACTTTGACATTATGTTGTGACAGCATACTGGAGATGGTGCAAAACTGGCAGCGTTTTACTGATATAAACTAAGGAGCAGTTAACCTGCTCAGTGGCGCTCACTGTGTACTCGTGGTGACTACAACAAATACTGCTCAGTTGCTGAACCTTCACTAAATCCTGCCCCAGTCAAAGATCAGTAACATAAGTGAAATGTCAATTTGCAGATTTACAAATGTTAAAAGGGTGTGCACAAGGCTCTCAACAGTAGTCTGCACTTTGAACCAGAATGGTTTAGAGGGTGGTACCTTTTAAACCCTGCGCAAAACAAGAGCAAATGTTACACTACATCAAAAATAAGAAAAGACAGAAATAATTGAACAGATTTATTTCAGACATGTTGGTGGTACAAATTCACAATAAATCTGGTTGTCCCAGTCAGCTTTAGCCATGTTTTTTAATTCAGAGTGAGAATGTAAGTAAAGCATGATCAAAACACCACTTATATGTTGTAGTGGAGAGCTCATTTTCTCTCAAAACAGGAGATGAAAAAGAGGATCCCAAAAATCAAATGTGAAGGTGTTCAATGTGGCTGCTTTTGATGATGTCAAAATGCACAACAAGATGACAGATGTGAGACAACAGAGGAGAGACTGCACAAAAGAGGAGTCATAGGGGTGACACTGCATGGGTTTCTGTCATGAATGCTTTATAAATTCAAGACCAAACATAACATCTGTACCTCCTTCTGTGTAGTTCTAAGAACTGCTTTGTCATTTTGTGTGCAGTGATTGATAACTTGTAAGGATTCTCTGTCATGACACTACAAGCATCCTGTCTGCATGACAGCACATCCAGCAACTAAAAGCCAGCCAGGCTGACTGATAAAGGAAGAGGGGACTGACTCACATCTGCTGCTCTTTGCTGTGGGCTAATAATCTCTCTGCCTCTCTTTGTATTTGGAGGTAATCTCTGACTCTCTGTGGGTATGTGGTGCCAAAGAGGGAGCAGCACCACAGGAAATAAGTTCCATTACATGGATCTGCCAGCTGAAAATGGTCAAATGCAACGTGTCTGAGGCTGATCTGTGTCTGCAGGGAGAGGTGGTGGACTTTATGGAAGCTTTTATGAGTGTGACAGGAAGAGAACTAAAAGAGAGAAGAAGAATGGAGAGAAAGACAACTTCTGTTTTTTAACGGCGGCTAGACATTACGTTGCTAGTTCTTGTCATGGTCATGCCGCTTCCGCCGCCAAAGCCGCCGCCATAGCCACCACCGCTGCTGCTGCTGCCACCTGGTGATTGAGAATAAGATGGACACATTAGAATTTTCATTACATTTTAATTTACTTTCATTAAAACATCAATGAAAATTGTCTTTACTAATAGTTTAATCATTTTAAGATGTTATATTTTCAAGAATGCCTTATAACTGGCTTAGAAATTAGCTGAAAGTAAAATCATACGCCATACATACCGTAGCTGGTAGTTGTACTCTGTATGTGGACAGTTGCAGGCGTACCACCAGTGGCAATTCTGCAGAGAGGTACAAAAAAATGAGAAATTTGAGCATCTGAGGTTGTTTCCTGCACATACAATGCAATACACTCTGTCATGTCAGAGGTTTTGGGAGTCTAGAGTCGATAAGCTTTTACCTGGATTCCTCCCCTTCCAGCAGTTTCCTGTAGGTGGCGATCTCAATGTCCAGGGCCAGCTTGACGTTCATGAGCTCCTGGTACTCTCTGACCTGGCGGGCCATGTCCTGTTTGCATCTCTGCATGGCTTCTTCCAGCTCCTTGATTCGGGCCCTGGCGTCCTTCACAGCCAGCTCACCGCGCTCCTCAGCCTCAGCGATCTGGGCCTCCAGGTTGGCACGCTATGAAGTTGGAAAGTTACCAGAAGTTTAAGATGTGATACTTCTTATTTAAAATACCTTGTACATGTTTAGTGGTTTTTAACATGTTCAGGAAACCTAATACTATTTTTAATAGTTTGTGCATAGCTGTTAAGCCTATAGTTAAATTTAAATTAAACTTACCTGCGCCTTTACTGCCTCAATCTCATTCTGGAGGCGGCTAATCATACGGTTGAGCTCAGCAATCTCACTCTTAATGTTGCGAACCTCATCTCCGGCCTTGCCAGCATGGACCTGCATCTCCTGGAACTGAAGGAATTGGATTAGAAATAACTGTTATTACAGATTCCTCAGATCAACCTCTCCATTTTTATTTGACAATGCATGACGTGTGCCTCATATTGGACTTATTGGTGAGACTGTTTTCTCTAAGGACCTACCTTCTGCTGATACCATGACTCTGCCTCAGCACGGTTGCGTTTGGCTATGTCATCATACTGAGCCTTGACTTCAGCCACAATGGCGTCCATGTCCAGCTCACGGGTGTTGTCCATCTCCACAATGACTGAAGTGTCCTTGATCTGTCCCTGGAGCTCATTCATTTCCTGCACAGGAGGGACGTCATTTTGAAAAATTTGATTAAAGGTGTTAGACAGTAAAGCAAGTATATTTGTTTCTGTTCTTTGGCATTTAATGGACACTTTCATGTTAGGTAAACTTGTTTCCTAAAAATGAGAGCAAGGGGACATAACAGGAACATGGCATGGTTCTTTTTTTCTTACCGCCTCATAGAGAGATCTGAGGAAGTTAATCTCATCCTGAAGGCAATCAGCCTTGGCTTCCAGCTCAACTTTGTTCATGTAGGCAGCATCTACATCCTGTAAGAGCAGAAGGAGGAAGAGGTCTCCATTGGTTATAGGTCAGAGGAAAATCCATTTGCTTCACCATTACATGATAGAGTGACAGGCTTTTTAACTGCAAATCCTCTCGCACCTTCTTCAGGAGGACAAAGTCATTCTCCACAGCAGCACGCTTGTTGATTTCATCTTCATATCTGACACAAAATTAAAAAATAGTTGTGAACTACTCTGGGTCAGTTCAAAGATGTGACATGCTTAGTTCCCTTCTCTGGTATGAACTCACTTGTTCTTGTAGTCCTCCACCATTCCCTGCATATTCCTCAGCTCTCCCTCCAGCTTGACCTTCTCATTGTTGAGCCCATCCAACTGTCTGCGCAGGTTGGAGATGTAGGCCTCAAACATGGCGTCCATGTTGGAGCGGCCGCTGGTAGTTTGCTCCTGCAGCAGTTTCCACTTTGTTTCCAGCATTTTGTTCTGCTGCTCCAGGTAACGAACCTAAAAGGTAAAATCATTTTGCCAAGGTTAGATCAGTGTTGCTTGGAGAAAAATAACATGTCCCCAAAACCACATTAGTCATATTGTGGGTGAATGATGATTTATAGATAAATGCCTCTTTTTATTTTATCATTTTCAGCCAACTACAAATAAAAAAATGAAATTAAGTGAATGATTTTTACTGTTCCTTTTCTTCATGATTGAATATGCTCTTTGAGGTAGCGCCGATGTTTGTCTTCTTTGTTTTACTTTCCTCAGGTGATCCACTGAGTCACAACTCTGTGTGACTTTCCCACACAAAAAAGCTCTAGTATGCACCAAAACTGGCAGCTGCTCTATTAAACTGCCCTCAGGGCAGAGATGTTCTAGATACAATCCACTATGGAATCTTTCTGCACAATATCCTTGCATCATTATTAGAGAACACATGACATGATCCTGAGAAACATGTTTCAACACCTCTCCATAGAAAATACAACCAGAGTGCTCTGCTATCCACGTTTGAAGTCTAGAGAGGGTACAGCCCAACCCTCCATTTTGAGTGTTTAAGTGTGTTGTAAGCCTTTTATTAAAGGCATGGTGAGGTGTAGAGTATAGTGACACACCTTGGAGCTAGCCCCTCCCCGTCTAATATCACCACTCCCCTGCCTCCAAGATGCATACTTTCACCGTGCGATCCTCAACCCTCAATAATTAATGCTACATGCCTGAAGCTGTCCCAGCAGTCATGTGTTGGAGCTTTAGAAATGTACTATGCATAATAATGCTATTTTATGCATCATTTAAAATGTTCAGTAAAACGTTACAGCTTTACTACTGCTATTGCTTGCCATAGTTTGAATGTTCATTGAACAAAATAAAATGTTTAATAATTGAATAGTGAAAATTTTACATTAACAGAGAATTTTACATTTACATGAACAGGATGAGATCAGGACACTTGTGTGAGGACAGATGAGGTGTGGTATGTACACACTGCAGGGAAAGCTGTTTTGACACGCAGGGTGTGGTTAACTTCTTGTTTTTTTATACCTGAAAGTAAAGGTCCTTCATTTTATTTACGAGGTCTTCACTTATATATAAAGGTATAGATGAGTGAATTAAGATATTGTATCATCCCTCGTCACAAAGAATAAATGACAAAAGTTCATGCAAATACACATTTAAGCAACAACAGTGATTGGAAAGTATATGCAACAGATTACAGATGATTAAGATGTCTATTTTCTGCAACATAACTGAAAATCTGCAAGTCTTTGCCACCAATGCAGTAGTGTAGGTGATGACCAGATCCCTTGCTCCCTCACAACCTGAAAGCCACAAGTCACTGGATACGAGCGATCTAGTGTTCCCTGACCCTCACTCTACTCAGAGACAGCTGGCCAGGGGCCACTTATGGCCAGAAGGAAAATAAAGGAGTAGTGATCAGCTTTCAGTTCAGCGTAGAGGTTTGCTGAGGTTTGCAGGTTTGCAGTGTTGCTTTCTTTCTGAGAGGTGCTTACACTGCAGTTCTGGAAAACTAACCGAATCATACTAGTTTTCATACAGCTCTGACTGACCACCAGCATGCACATTGTTCAGGTCTGGATCAGTAGCTTTGTAACATTTAATGAGCCCAGGTGGTGGCCTCTTGGAGACACTCTGTTGCAGCTAATTGCCTTTTCACAAACCAGTGAGCTCCACTGTGTGCAGCGCACTCACCACCAGTTCCTACTATTTCAAGCTCCTTATTTCATTCAAATCAACAACTATTTTTCAACCAACCAACTTTAGAGCTAAAATATAAAAAATATTTTGGATTTACATACAGTATAACATGTGATGGTCAGTTTAAAATCAGATATAAGATTTTCAACATCCTTTTGAAATGGTGTAACAGAGTTAAGACAGAAGCTGTCTCAGCTGCTTCTTCTATCACTGCTCTGTGGAAAGCGGTCTATCCTGTGGCATTCTGGTGCTGTTTGCTAATCGCTCTGTACCCGACAGGAAATCACTTCAGAGCACCATTAAATCAGCACAGTATATCATTGGCACACAGCTTCCCTCACTAGAATTAATCGACAAAACACAATGTTTATGTGGGGCCACAAACATAGACAAGGACTCGTCACCCCTTGGAAACCACCTTTTCTCTCTGCTGCCCTCTGGGAGGTGATATAGGTCTGTAAAGGCCCGCACCTCAAAAATGGTGGAAAGCTTTTAACCTAGTGCAATTGAAGTACTGAACTCTGTAACACACTAGAATGAATAATGTGCAATGAATTTACTTTTGTACTTTGAGGTGCAATATGTGACTTTTATATGTTTTTAATGTTTGATGTTTTAATGTTTAATGTTTATTGTCACTAGGAGAGATGGATTGAATTTTGGTGTACAGCTGCACAATGAAAATAAAAGTATTCTGATTTAGATTCTGAAGAAGAAGAAAAGGGAAACTTACCTTGTCAATGAAGCTGGCGAAGCGGTTGTTTAGAACCTTGATCTGATCTTTTTCTTGGGTACGGACAGTCTGGATGTTAGGGTCAATCTCAAGATTCAGGGGGGACAGCAGGCTTGAGTTGACTTGGACATTTGTAATTTGCTGTGGCATGGGACCACCACCAAAATTACCATAACCGCCACCATAACCGCCACCAAAGCCGCCACCAAAGCCGCCCCCCCCCCCCCCCCGCCACCGCCACCCATGCCCATGCCTGACCTAAGCATTGAGGCACTTGAAAAGCTGGACGATGACATTGGTGCCCCGGACCTGGAGATGATGGCAGATCTTGAGCTATATCCCCCTCCTCCTCCTCCTCCTCCTCCTCCCATACGCATGCTACTACCAAAACCACCACCACCTCCACCACTGGTGCTGGTCCTGATAGTTTTTACGGACACAGATCTGGTAGTCATGATTGGTTTTGCTTCTTCTGAAAGAGAAGGAGTCACAGAAAAA